GTTAGCGGCTGTCAACTGCTTAATTTAACTTAGAAAAGTTACCCATCACTACTTAGATTGCGGATTCACATGTTGAATGTCAATATAAATTAAAGATGTCGCTTTTGTTTGCTAGGAAATTCCTCATTCTTCTAGGATTCACTATTTTTAGATGCAGTTATGCTGAAAGGTTTCTTGTACTGTGTCTAGTTACGCTGCAAAGTATTAAAATGCTTTGAGATAGTGTCATAGGTATACTAATGAGGCAGTATGCACTCAGATGGTTAAGTAATAACCATTTTAATAGGGAAAAAAACATGCCCTAAATGCATTTAGTCAAAGAATTAAAAAAATTAAGATACTAATAGCTCATTTGCAAAAACACTTAATTTCAAAGTTATATATATATAAAGGGTATACTGAACTAAATATCATAACTATAAATTAAATACTTTGAATTATACTTTTCAGGGTTTTATAAATGGCTGAATCACAACTTGTGATATTGCCTTTAGTTTAGCAACATGGAATTCTTCACTTCATCTGAAGAAAAAGAACTCAGGGTTCGTACACATTTCTGCACACGGAAATTAAGGACTTTTAAGGACCATTAATGAAAAAATTAAGGACCTATGAGCAAATGGAAACCGAGTAAATTCAATTAAAAATATCGAACGCAGTAGGATGCATTATTATTAAACATAACTAATTAACATAATTATTAATACGTTTGAGAATAAAATTAATTTTATGAAGTAGCATTAAATATTTTACACTTATAATAACTGGACAGAGTAAGTTGCGCTGGTAAGATATATTGGATGAAATAAAAGATGGGTTTATTTTATAAAATTCAAACTTGTATTACTAATATTTACTTATTTGGTTAACTTAAGCATATATTACACACATATTAAACTAAAAACGCAATAAATTTTTATACGCATTACGAGTATACTCGTCAATACACAAAATCGTGCCACTTCTCCATAACAAGTATACTTGTCAATCACAGTTAACTGGTTAACCCACAGGTTACAGCATTGAAATGCCTCTGAAATGTTGAAGCACAGCTGTTTCCTTGCAACAAACCTACTGTATCACTTTCAAGTATTTTATTAATGCTTTTTTCAAGTTAACACAAAACATGGAGACATCTTTCTCACACACACAAAATAATAACAGGTGCTTCCATTTCTCACATGACCAAAACACTGATGATTATGGCTGTCCAATGCAAGCTCCAACATGATTTACTACCTTCACAAAACCAAATGCAAGTTTCTACACCAAATACTGGTAAATAAATACAGGCAATCTTATTACATTTCAATTAGTCTTAATACATTCTTATACTGCCAAATAGTTTTTAAATCCAATGTTTTTATATTATAACCAGTAAAACTCAAATTTACACAATCAATGATTAAAATGCCACAAGAATCTGGTATCCAGTTACATTTTAATACTTTTCCAAAATCACTTACAGAACACCATTTAATTCAAGAACACTATTTTCTCAAGATGAAATAGAAGAGTATGGCCTAACTTTGAAAAACATTCAGAACTTTTATCTGAAGCATAAGTTTTAAAATAAATGAAATTTCCCTTATATTTTGTGTACATTGCAACCAAAACCAAACCTATCTTTATGAGTATGTTATCCTTTCAGCGATGTTAATGTTGTGTTGAACCAAAGCATGTACAGCTTTCAGTCAAGTCCAGTTAAAATCAGCCTCGAGAAAATATATTCAAATTTATGAAATCCATTAAGCATTATCAACCATCTTTTAAATGAATCACCAAACATTCCTTGTTTAAAATAAGAAAGTTAGCATTTTTCAAATGACCAGACATGTGCAATTTGATGCATGCCAATACCCATTTGATCATAAAGCAGTCTCATCACAGAGAAAGGCATGCAGACCTTATTTTGCTCGACATGCAAACAAATTTTTGACACAGAAATAGAGTGCAAAGAGTTTGGTTAAATATTTTGCTCTTCTGAAAACTGCAAAAGGAAGATAATTTCATCACCTATTTGTCTTATCCAATGTCTAGTGATAACACAATCATTTCTAAATATGTACAGGCAGTCTTAAAATTTTTCAATTAGCACTTTTACTTTCAGATAGTTCTAAATTAAAATGCCTAAAAAACAACCTTCAAAAACCTGTCTTAAAAAAAAAAAAAAAAAAAAAAAAAAACTATTTGGAGGACAGAATTTGAAAAGCATTTATACTGAAATGCAAGAAAAATTGTCATTTCCTAAAAGAAGAATCAACTAAAGCTAGGATTCATTACTTTATTGAATAGCAAAAATTAGCATGATTGCAGCAGCCTTCACAGAAGTTGAACATTCATGTTTTTTGGTTCATGGGCATGTATATCATACGTTGTCTCAATTTATGCTTACTGCATTTTTTATTCTAGCATTCAGTTAAACAACTGCCTTTATTTAAAACATAGGGAAAACTTGCGACACAAAAGTGGTTTTCTTAATGGATAAAATGATAATGGAATGTTGATCTCTTAATACCCTAAATGTGGATAAACAAAAATTAGTAATTTTTAATTAAAGTCTGACAAAATTTTGGAGAAAATATGAAAAATATAAAAAGTTACAATAGAAGAATCATTATATGCTGGGTTCGTTCTAGTGAAGTTTGACAGTAATTTTATCAGGCTGTCCTTAATTTTATAAGTACAGTCAAAAGTCGTTAATTCGGACACCCATAATCCGGACAAAAGCTGAAAACGGACCCGGACTCTGCGCATGCCCCGCGTTGGCTCATGCGCACAGGCATTTACGCGTGCGTGTAAGACCTTGACTCACTGCAATATGCCTGTGCCAAATGCAGAATATGTTTTCGGCATGCGGTTTAATGTATAAGGGACGGTGTAAGCTAAATATCTAATTATCTATTTCAGTAATGATTGCGTGTTCCTTAATCTTCGAATTGGATCCACTTATTATTTTTTGCAGACTGTAAGAGGCAATTTTATAAAAGTAAACTGAACTTTCGATTTACGTCAAATAGAATTTCCGATGCTAGAACTTCCAAAGGATCTAAAAACGAAAGTATGTTTTGATGTTCACAAACAAAAAGTGGAATTGCTGCAAAAAAGGATAAAGACATGAAGAATGTGACAGAGAGGTTAGTGAAAACGAAAAATTTCGATTGACAAAGTTAGTCGGTATTCTCGGCACAGCAATTACAGGACTTGAACAGCGGAACTTTGTAACTGAACAAGAAATTATGTCTGTTTATAGAATTAAAGAGAAAGTATTACACATAAAACGAAGCAACTTAAACAACTTACATTGAAGAAATGTTTAATAAAGTAAACAAATAAATATTAAGCTTTTTTTTTTTTTTGTAAATTTTGATACCCTTTAGATCATAATTGTTCTTTATTTCATAAATTACGGTTGATATTTTTATTTTAGATTTCTGCATGCCATCTTACCAGATTTAAACTGATGATCTATAATCCGGAATCGCCGAAAGGCGGACGAGTCCGATTACGACTTTTGACTGTACACAATTCAGAGATTCTGAAGTCTTTTTTAACATTCATCCCAAATTCTCATGAGAACTAAAGCACTATCTGGTGCCATTCATCTTTGAAAACATACAACAGTAAAAACAAATTAGCATCACCTTCACATATGACAATGTGGTCCAACCTTTAGTTGCTCGAGGGCCAATTAAAGGTTAATATTGGAGAGTGAAGGCCAGAGACATTAAAGAAAGAAAATGAATTACATATAAATCATTAATTTAATACATCACTTTATTTTACAGTCAAGAAATCAACGTGATGATTGGCAATGCTTTTCTGATACAAGTTTATTGATGACCGCTGTAATATCAGCAAGGCAAAGTCTCGGGCTCAATTCCAGTGAAACACTTTCGGTGCGATTTCTTGTTTTTAATTTAATTTGTTAGAGAGCAGGAAAAGCACTTTCACACACATATGTGCTGCCAAACGGCAATAATATTTGCAAAGAGAACGTATGCAGCTTGGGAAAACATTCTTCAGAAATCAATTTCCAGAAATATTCAGTGACATCCCACTTTTTTAGTCTGGTAGAATGGATCTGCTTGAAGATCTCAAATCTCCATTTGAAGGTCACTTACTTCAATCTCCGTGGAGTTGCTATAAACAATGAAAGTTTGTTTTTAGGAAGCCAAAATCTGTCTTGGAATTCTTTTTTGATATTATTAATTATTTCATGAAGCATACTAAAATCTGTGTCATTTTCTTTCAGCTGCTGACAAAGTGAAGTGTGTCGTATTATTTGCATTTCATTAAGTTTTTTTTTGCAAAAGCCTTCAATATGGCCATAAACCTGGGATATATTTTGTTTCTACCTTGTGGTTTCAAGTTTAAAGCATTCAGATGGGATGTTAAAATCTGGCCAATGTTTTCATTTTTGAGGAAAGGAAGAATTTCATTCCTCAAGCCAAAAAACTGTTGCAGACAATTTCCAGCACTTAGCAGTACAATGAAATGCCAACATACTCAGCATTCAAACTATCCACAATTGCAATACATGCTCTGTCTCTGGGCTTATTAAAATTTACAACACTTTTCATTGTCTCACTGAGCCTTATAATTTTTATTGAATTATTATATTTATTATTTAAAGCAGTAAGTAAGAAGGGCATTTTGTTTTTCCAAATCTTTAACTAATATTTTCCCCTGAGTAAGAACGGCAAGTGCCAACAAAATGAATAAGAGGGCCACGACGACTGCAACTTCTGTTCATTGGTGTTGTAAACCTATTTTAAGGGTGAGCCCTTTCCCACAAATTTCCAAGACTTGGATTTTAAGACAATATTTAGTAAGAACGATTTCAAAATCTAATAACTCAATGATATAGGTGCACACAGCAACTTTTCCAAATGAGGGGTAAAGGCATGAGTTTTTCTTCGGATAAAACACAAGTGTTTAAAAAAGACTTGGCGGTAGGAATTAAAATTTTTGATGCACAAAACGCATTTTCATTAACAAATGGTTGAAATTCCAAGACAATTTGCATATAAAAAAAAAAGGCTAAATACTTTCATTTAAAAATTTAATGTTTTTGATTACTTTTATTTTACTCACCATTTGATCTTCATCTTCTGGAACTGTAATTAGAGAAAAATAAGTAAATAAGAACACATTTACCAACATGGCATTCACAAATTAAATAGCTTGCTACGAATCACTTTGAAAAAGACATTACGTTAAATAATAACTAATTAAATACCCGACTAACAGTATAAAAATATTCCAACATTGAAAGTAAAAAGAAACTACACAAAATATTTCAATGTTAAAAACATTAAAAATTACACCATAACTAAAATTATGATTCTGAAGAATGGTTATAAAGAAGAGCTCACAGAAACATTTCCAGATACAGTGAAAAACTTTTGAAACTACAATAACTTCAACAGTCAAAATAAAAAAAATTACATGAAATGCACTTTCGAATTACTATAATATGCATCTTCTTTCAGTGAACAAGAGCTTCCATGAGACATTTCTGAAACAAAGAATCTAAGACATCGATTCTTTTCTGCCCCATACAACTCTTTCAGTATTGCTAGACTATCATTCCTCCTCCTTTCCATAACTCTAAGTACAGAATGTTTTAAATATATTTGTGTGAACCAATGAATGAGTAGGCTTGGTCAGAGCGGTAGTGACATCAGACATGGTTACTGTCTGTCTACGAGAACAGCTCCCGCCAGTATCTGGCAGATGGGGGTTGCTATAGCAATAGGGCTAGTAAGGAGTAAACCAAAGGTTGCAAATTCATCTTTAAATGCACCAAGATGGCAAACTGAAAACTAAATCTTCAATGAAGCTGGAAGGAAATCGGTTCAAAGCTTGTTTCTACTGCAACAGACTAACTGGTGTGAGCTTTTCTTATGATAGACTGTATAAGGTGCTTATTATTGTGTGTGCAATTCAATGCCAAAAGTTAAATTTTGTGTATGACACTTACATAAAAAGAGATTCTTGTACAGAAACGTGTAGACAATTCAGAGAAAAATTCCCTGTCATTATGGTTCTTCACAGAAATACAATCGGAAATCTTGTTGGGTTACAGGAAAAGTTATCATTCAACGACAGAATTTGTATAGGAAAAAAGTTAACAGAAAAGATAATTCCTGAAATTCAAGAACCATTACAGTGTACTCAAACAAATCTACACCGAGTCTCACAGGAATACATGCTCAAAAGGCTCAGCCTACTCTGATACTAAATTATTGAGACATAAAATGACACCAAAAATACCTGCAAGCACACAAACACCATTTTGAACAGCTCCTACAATACAGGTGAATGCTCATTCACCATAAAAATAAATAAAATGATTCATTAATTCATAATTTAACAAATTGAAGTTTATGAGAATTGAATTTGAGTTTTCTACCTCCAGTTGCCCGGCAGAGATTTTCCAAATGCTCCATATTTTTGTATGTATTCAAAGAGATATATCTGATTTAAGAGCAGACAGATATGCCTACTTTTAAACTTGCATACCTTATTCTTTTAACCAAAATGACAGGTCAAATACAAACTTTTATTATACACAACTAATGAGAATGAGTAAAAAGTGATTACTGACCACATACAAATCCCTCTTCTTCAATGGGAGGAGAATATATTTTTGCAATGACCTCACTCGTATTTGAAATCAGCTGATTTGTAATATTTCATTTAAGAGCTTACAAAATACAACAGTCTGAATATTTAATACTGCACAACATAAAACAGAGAAACCTTAGCTACAACTCTGTTGAAAATTAAATATATTTTGGGGTAAGAGTAAATTAATAATTGAAAATTGATTTTTTTTTAAAATTTACCTGCAGGAGGATTAAAGAAGTTGAAGAAAGAATCATTTTGAACTGTTTTTGTGACAGTTCTAACAGCACCCCTGGCCTTGTGCTTTTGCTTCTTCTTTATTGTCTTGATAGTCACATTTTTGGATTTTTTCCAATCAATTGTACAACTAAAATGTTAATAAAAATTCATATATAACATAAGTAAATAAAAACAAATTAATTTATAACTTTTCCAAAAACGTGTTAAAAAGATTACACTACACTTTCATATTTACACATTTTTTATATTGAAAATGCAGCATGTTCTAAAAAGCTAACTGGAGTTGATGAATTCATGAAACAGAAAAAGCTAGAATTTATCAACAAAAAATGTGTAGTGTTTCAACAGAATGCCAGACCTCACTCGAGTTAGGTAACTCATCAGAAGCTGTCGCAGTTTAGAGAGGATGTGCTACCACAACTGCTATATTCACCTGATCAGGCACCCTCAGATTACACTTGTTTGCCTTCATTTTTAAAAGGTCAAATGTTTACTTCCAATAAGGATGTGAAAAATCACTTGGATTAATTTTTTGGAAGCAAAGATCAGAACTTTTATGAGTACAGAATCATGCTACTACCAGAAAGATGACAAAAAGGTCAATTATTTGAATATGGCAAAGCATATATGAGAGCTACAGATGGAGGACAAAATAATGCAAACACCTATGAAAAAGTATGATATATTTCACACCTGCAGTACAGCCGCACCACCTGCAACAGAAGTCTGCCACTTAAAGAGTGCGAAGAGGAAGGTATCAGTCTCTCAACAGCAGTCACCTGCGCTGCATGCTTCGATCGAACTGTCTGCGAGAAGTTGAAATGTCAGACCTGTCAGAGTTCCAAGGAGGAATGATAGTTGGAGCGTGTTTAAGTGGCGCATCCGTTATGGAAACAGCAAACCTTATGGGGTGTGCAAGGAGTATGGTATCAGCCGTTATGATAGCGTACATGAAAGAGGGTAAGCAGACGTCTTTAAAGCACAACAGTGGCCGAAAGTCAAAGCTGGCTGATAGGGATAGACAAGTCCTTTAATGCATGGTAGCCCGAAAGCACAAGCAATCGTATCCAAGATAACATCCGAAATAGCAGTCATCTCCAGGACGCAGTTTCAACAAAAACTGCCAAAAGGGAACTTCATGTTGCGAACGTTATGGCAGAGTGGGCAATTCCTAAACCCTTGGTGAAAGCAACTAATGCTTGCAAGCGACACCAATGGTGCAGAGATCATAAAGGCTGATCCCAACAGCAGTGGCAACGGTAATATGATCAGATAAATTGTCATTCATCGTATTTAAGGACTAACGCCTCTTAAATAGAACCCCCAAAGTGTTTTATCCTGAATGCCTCTTGCCGACTGTGAAGCATGCAAGTGGCCATTATGGTATGAGGTACGATTCTCTTGGCGCGGGTCTTGGGCCACTTGTATTCTGCATGGGAGGATCACATCCAAACACTAAGCATTCTAGGAAATCATGTCCATCCTTTTGTCCACTGTATTCCCTGGGGAGAGACCGTTTTTTCAAAATGACAAAGCGCCTATCCACACTGCTAGGTGTATTCAAGAATGGTCCAAAGAGCATGATGACGCAATTGAACACCTTGCTTGGCCTCTCTCGGCACTTTAATATTATTGAACATTTATGGGCATATTAGGAGTCCAAACTTTGTTCCCGATTTCCACCTACATCCGGACTTTCGGAATTAGAGACCGCTCAGCAGGAGAAATGGCTTAATATTCCTTTAAATATTGTCCATAACCTTTATGCATCTATCCCACGTCGCATTCAATCTGTACTTCAGTCAATGGATGGTCCACCCTCCTATTAATAAAGATTTTCCACTATCTCACAGGTGTTTGCATTATTTTCTCCTCCATCTGTATCTGCTTAGTGGGAAGGATGCCTTCATAGAGGACTTTTTAATGAAAACCGACTCCTATTACAAACAAAAAAACATGATAACCAAGCATGCAGCCAATCCAATGGCTACAGATTAAGATAAAGATATTGAAAATATTGATAAAAAGTCATTGAACTAAAATGGTCAATACATACTTTAAAAAATTTATACAAGGAAAAAAGTTTCATGGGAAAAAAAAATCTTCAAATAACTCAATACATACAATCTTCAAGCTGTTTTCAGTGCCCTGAGAATTTCATGTTACACCAGGACAAAGCTTTTTGTTTCCCAACTATTACTGCTTTCGGTTCAGAAAGAGGCTGCTCATAGTTATATTTCAATGTGTCTGATGATAAGGAGGAACCTGTTTACTTTATGCTACTAAACACTCAAGACCATTATAATGCAACATAATGCACTGAAAGAAAAATTGCATCAGGCCTACTGGAGACAAGCAGTGACTTTCTAATGGGCGACTACATAAAGATTTACGAAAAAAAAAAATTTCCAACTTTACAATAATTAAAAATTGCCTTTTTCCAAAATCCACATGCCTTTTCATCTCGATATTTTTCAACATTATGAAATATTTCATTAAAACTCATCTGTAATGAAAAGCTCAAAACTTTAGATAGAATAGGAATTAGTGATCTTACCCTTTGCATCTAACAATTTCAGGCCCTTCAAAGGAAAAGACATCGGTTGGATCCGGAACACATTTTAATTCATAATATTTAGTTAAAACTGTGTCAGTGAAATAGTCATTTGGTTCAAAGTGAAATTCCAGGTAAAAACTCTAAAGAGGGAATAAAAGACCATTTTAGTATAACCTCAGTTATCACAAGAAAAAGTTTTAATACATTCACATTAAAATTCAATGCTACTCTAACTGAATATGCTCTTATTTATGTGCAAAAAAGTTATGTGCTCAAAATTATGTGCAAAATTTTTACAGATCTAAAGATAAAATAATTTTAACATAATAAATAATAATATCGGGCATTAAATTTTTAATATCACACAAGACTACGTACGATCATACTTTAAGAGTCTGTGGTACTTTCTGATTATCCACACCCCCACTAACATAGTAAAAACTTGCTGCTGACTTAATTATCAAACTTTCTGACAACTTTGGAGAAAGAAGTCTGAATACCTTTTTTACATGTATTTTAATGATGTATCACCTACTACCCCCCAAAAGACATGTACTTAGTTTTTTGCACGATTCTCCCCATGATCTCCTTTGTCTAAAAAAAATTAAGAGTATAACACCAGACACGAAAACAACCTTCCTAGAAGAGATGAAACTTAACGCAAAATAAAATATTATTCATACAAATGAGAATTGAATTACAAAAGTGCAAGTCCACATAAGCTCAAACAAAAATAATATACAACTACCCAGCTTACAAAATACTTTTTGATAACATTTTGCGTTGCCTCCTGAATATTTTCTCAACTTTTCAGTGGAAGTGTAGATAATTTGGAAATACCCTATCCAATTTAATGACAGATATATTAACGATTTGAACTTTATGACTTAAACATTTAAGGAAAATCAAATACACCAAACACAAGGTATCAGACAAAATTTCACGAATAATTTTAGCAATAGTCATGTGCGGTAAATTCTACTACAGTACAAAGTCTAAAATCCGGACGTCCATTATCCGGAATGATCTAAAATCCGGAACTCAAAACCACCATCATTTTCTCGTGGGCTTACACATGCACATTAGATCCCCCCCTCTGTGCATAATAAAACATCTGGAGAGTCGCGATTCTTAATTTCATTTTGACACTAAATTACCTTGTTATTGAAGAAAAAAATTTTAGCATAAATTTGTACCATCGGTGATTTGGGCTTCGTTGCTGCGCATCTGCTTGGCACACATCTGAAACCGAAACATTACACATGTATACATCGTTGATTTGATGCCAACCTGGCAAACTTATTATTTGTTATGCTTTCCTTTTTATCACCGCATGTTTTAAAACATGACAATTTTAGTAATGACTCATGTAGCGATGCCTAAACAATTTTCTTCTGTT